GGCTCCGGGCTGGCCAGGCTCAGTGCGAACCCCCTCATTCTGTGGCTGCAGTCATCCTTCTGCCTTGGCTTTGCGGCACAGCCCCACAGCACCAAGGCAAGGAAAATATAAAAGCTGCTTTCCTGGCAGTCAGCCTACTGCAGCTCTTGATGCCTGGGGTTATTCCTGCCCAGGTCCAAGACTTCTCATTTCCCTTTATTTAACTCCATCAGATTCCCCTCAGGCCAATTCTTTAGCTGCTGTCGCCCCTCTGAATGGCACAAACATTTGGGCTATCAGCTGCTCCTGCCAGCTTTGCATTGTCTGCAGACCTGCTGAGGGTGAACTGCTCCTCCAGCCCGGCCATGAATGAAGACATTAAAGAGCATCTGCCCCAGCATCAGCCCCTGGGGGTCACAGCACCCATGACTTGCCTCCAGCTCTACTTTGTGCCACTGATGACAGTCCTCATCCATTTTTCAGCCTTCCTCACTGGGCGTTTTGGCAGTTTGTGTTTAGGGATGCTGTAGGAGATTGTCTCAAAGGCTTGGGTAAAGCTGGGGTAGACATCATCCATTGCTCCATATCCATCCGTTTGGCTGCCCTGTCATGGGCATCAGGTAGGTAACCATTACTCCCAATCGACTTCTCCACTTGTTTGGAATGGTTTTCAGGATTAGTTACTCCATCACCTGTCAGGGGACAGAGGCAAGGCTGACTGACCTGTATTTTCCTGTCCTTCTTAATCTCTTGGAAGAAATCACTCTATTAGAGCAATTCTGGCTGTTTTTAGCTAGGCAATTCCAGCAAAAGTAACTAGTAATAAAAATGAAGCTCTAAATAGAGTCAATTAAATTCTTCTTTCTGCTACCATTCTAGGCCACAAGAAAGATCTTGTTTTCTTTTCAGTACTGAGTACTGCACAGCTGATTTAAAAATAAAACAAGACAAAAGTCTCCTTAATAGAATATAATTATGCCTATTTTTCAGAAGACACATAATTTAGGATTTTCTTTAAGGATTAGACTGAGATGAAAGGACTTTCGAGCTTCCAGAATGTTGATATTTTTGTTGTCTCTGTTATGAACAAAAATTCTGTTGATTTTTTTCTGTGAGAAAANCAGCACAGGGACAGGGGACACAGGGGGCACCGGGGGAAAAGCAAGAGGTGAAAAAGGCAGCTGAGGGGGGAAAGAGGTACAAATGCAGCCTAGGCCTACACAAACAGCAATCTATCCATCAATCTCTCCATCTAAACATTCCTATTCCTCTTATTATATAACTATACACATTTATAAATCTAACTTCATTTACATATTTACATATGTATATATATTTCACTCTACAGATATAAAAATGTAACTCTGAAAATCTATAAATGTAAATTTATAATAAAATATAATTATATCACTTCTCTAAATGTATACATATCCACATTTAACTATACAGATCTATCAATATATGCCCATATAAACAGAACACTATCATCTATAAATGGAACCATAGCCACTAATAAATAGAACCATAGAAATCTATAAACATATCTACAAACAGAGGAGTTCTACCTGCCTGATGGTCACAGGCTCTCCCCTGTCTCTTCCTGCCATGCAGGGCAGCCCTCCTGGAGATGTTGGTCAGATGGCATCTGGGAAGCAAAGGGAACGCTCAGTCAATATTGGCCCTTCTGCACCTTTCCCTTGGGCACCAATTGTCCTTCTACCAGGGGCTGTCAAAGATGGCCTGAAAGGCAGACTCTCACTTGGCAATTGGAAGCAATCTGCCCTTAAAAGAACAGGGACCATTCCAAGTGTTCAAAAGTGTGTTTCAAGACATTGAAGTATCTCGATAAAGTCTCAGCACTCACAATGCAAAGGGCACCCACAAGAGCTTGAAACACAAACAGTCCCAGCTGCCACAAGGAAGCCCAGCCTTGTTCTTTCTCTGTGCTGACAGAGAGACCTCAGTCCTCACTGAAATGGCTGAAGCTGAAGGTGCTGGGAGCTGAGTTCTGAACCAGCTCCATTACCTGGCATCTACAAACTGCCCTCTGCAGTGAGCAGCAGCTGCTGCAACTCGACCATCAGCTCTGGCAGGAAGGGCTGGGAGGGACAGAGCTCCCTATGAGGCCTGCAGGCTGCA